GTCCAATAAGACACTCGCATATTCCTATACTGTCCAATAAGACACTCGCATATTCCTATACTGTCCAATAAGACACTCGCATATTCCTATACTGTCCAATAAGACACTCGCATATTCCTATACTGTCCAATAAGACACTCGCATATTCCTATACTGTCCAATAAGACACTCGCATATTCCTATACTGTCCAATAAGACACTCCATATTCCTATATTGTCCAATAAGACATTCACTACAGGACAAATTAGTTCATTTTTTCTGACAGTGTTACGACAAAAAACAAAAATCTGATTACATTATTTAAAATAAAAATAATCGTTTCAAAATTTATGATTATGGAAATGATATGTTTATCAAAGTTTTTACATATATTAAACAACCATTATCAAATACACCCCCAAACTTCGTTTTTAATGCACAACAAGACTGGCTAGACTTACAGCAAGGTAGAAAGAGAATTCCAAACATGTACTAGAACTTCACCTTAGGGATGTACATAAATTGTCTTAATAGCCTAATAGGTTTGTGTGTCTCAGTTAAACATAAAACCTACCAGTTTTGATTAAAGAATTGAATGAAATTAAATAGGTTTTTCTTAGCAGTGAAGAAAAAATTGAATAAAAATAACACAAGTAATTTTCAAATATAAAACTTAGTACTTTTTTGAAGCATGTGGAAATGCTTACATTAAAACCTATTCTTTACAATAACTTTGTGCTGGAAGCTGTTGTAAACTATTACACTTTGTCACATTTTTCAAAACAATTATTTGTGTAAAGTGAATCTGTCTGGTAATGAAAGTTTTCTTGTGTAGATTTTTGGGTATTGTAAACCATTGAAATGAAATTTACTCAATTTTTAGCAACTTCAGTATTCCAAAATCTGAATAACTCAATTACAAAACCCAAGGCTTTTTCTTGAATTTAAGCCTTTGCTACTAAAACCAGTACTTACGTTAAATATTTGGGGAATTCACAAACCTGTTGAATAAAACCAGTACTTACGTTAAATATTCGGGGACTTGACAAACCTGTTGAATAAAACCAGTACTTACGTTAAATATTCGGGGACTTCACATACCTGTTAAATACAAAACCAGTACTTACGTTAAATATTTGGGGACTTCACAAACCTGTTGAATAAAACCAGTACTTACGTTAAATATTCGGGGACTTCACACGTAGTGGAAGGTGAGGATGTATAACTTTGAGAACCTATTTAATTATCAACAAAAATTAATAACTAATTATTTGCTCTTCCAATTTCTCAGATAAAGAATTTTATCCATTAATCAAAACTAACTAACTCTTTAATGATTTAATAAATAAGTTAATTCTAGGTATAGCCAAGTGAAGTAAAATTTGACATTATATTTTAATTTGTAAGTTACTTCTACCAGATGAACATCACACATGGAAAAAGTAAAACGTTCATGATAGTGAAAAATACTTAATAAATGTCCACTTGTTGACAGCACTAGTGTTATATGTTTCTTAATAAGTACAATATTTTAACTTCCTACATATTCATTGTTTACATTGTAATAAGTTTATTTCTAGTTTTGTTTTTGACATTTACAGAGACTTCAAGTTAGTCACGAAAGGCTCAACTTTAGCCTAAGCTCTTAACGGCCACGAATACTCTTTGAAAAAAGCTAGATTAGATAAGTAACCAATGAAATCCACTAAAATTCTGAACTTAGACAATGGCTAGTAATAATAATGTACAGTAAAAGCTAATTATTTCCAACAAATAACTTCCTAAATAGGTCTCAGAATAATTTACCCAAAAAATTTAAAATATGTTGGTGATAACCACAGCTGCACTAAGTGTTTTAACGTAATATAATGTCAGAAACGAGATACCTTCATGAGGTTTAAATATTTCCAACATATCCAAATTCAAAGGGAAAAAAAAAGTATTTTTTTAAAGAAAATCATTCAATGAGCTCACCTTTAAAACACAAACTATCTTGGCTATCAGGACTGGATGAAGGACTTGAACCAGAACCAACAGTTGTTGAACTGACTTTGGATTGATCCACCCCTGTTGTTCTATCTTGTACAGAACTATTGTGGTGGTGGTGGTTAACATAACCCTTTGTGAGCAACCTGGAATCTGAAGTATCTTTCTTTGGTGCTGTTTTTATCTGAAGATGACTGTCAGGGGAGGTACGATTATTGATGTAACGTTGGGAGGAATCTGCTACTTCCCTTGTTGATTCACTGGGGCTAGATGTAACCCCTACCACAGTCCACTGAATGGACTTTTCAGGAGTCCATCCGTTAACCAAATCAGATCCTGTTGTTGAAGTCTGAGGAGGTGTACTAGCACAAGAAAACTTTAGAGCATAGCTACTGGGTTTTAAAAGGTCATTCTGGTCAGTTCTAATACACCCACTTGGTGAGGGTTCTTGCTTTTTGGAACTACTTAATACAGAATTAGCCTTAGAAAAGATGGTCTCACTACAAGTACCCATAAAACCTAGAGATGGAGAGGCACCATTCACTTCAGGCTTTTGGTAGTGGGATATTCTTAGCTTCTTGCCTGGGTAGGGCTCATATTCTAGTGGACCACGCTTCTACAGAGAAAGATCCCAACAAGATGTCTCAAAATCACCACTTTCATTTAAAAATGTAACTGTTAATACCAAGCCTGTACACATTAGAGCAGATGCTACTAACATTTTTTTGACAGAATCCTCTATAGTTGAAATTTTTAAAAATATACCTTAAAAAACTGTTCCATTCTATACTGATTTCAGACACATCACAAGTAATGAATTTTACCAGTAAGCTCCCACACATTTACGATGGTAATAACTCACCTTAATATCTTATTGTAACTATTCTTAAGGAAAGTATTTAAACATTATACAATGTGGTCATACAGCTGTTCTTTTAACAAACCTTTTAACCATTCTCCTGAAAAAACATTTTAACATTGTGTTTTGATCCTGCAATCATTCTCCTGAAAAACATTTTAACATTGTGTTTGATCCTGAAATCATTCTCCTGAAAAACATTTTAACATTGTGTTTTGATCATGTAATCATTCTCCTGAAAAATATTAACATTGTTTTGATCCTGCAATCATTCTTCTGAAAAACATTTTAACATTGTGTTTTGATCATGCAATCATTCTCCTGAAAAATATTAACATTGTTTTGATCCTGCAATCATTCTTCTGAAAAACATTTTAACATTGTTTTGATCCTGCAATCATTCTCCTGAAAAACATTTTAACACTGTGTTTTGATCATGCAATCATTCTCCTGAAAAACATTTTAACATTGTGTTTTGATCATGCAATCATTCTCCTGAAAAACATTTTAACATTGTGTTTTGATCATGCAACCATTCTCCTGACAAATCATTTAATGTTATGTTTTGTTCATACACCAGGGGGCACAGCAATAATAATAATGTATGGTAGCACAAGTGTACCATAAATTTTGATTTTCTAGCTTATAGCTCTGTAACCAACTAAGATTGAAGTCTACAAAAATTGTGCTTTGCCCTACTGATCTTTACATTTCCTACTTCTCAGAGGGGTGGTAAGTAAATTATGGAAGAGGAGATACCTAGAGGGTAAATGTAACAATTCTCATACTAGGAGAAATTGAAGATTTTTTTCCTAATATTGCCTTATAAAATTAAGAAATTAAAACTTACACAATATTATAATTCAGATTACTAGCTACATTTTGATGCCAAATTTATTCGTTTACAATGATAATAAAGTACTTTAATTAAATTTTTAAGGCAACTCAGTAAAACCTTGTGACATGTGCAGAAAAGGATGCCTATATGGGAAAAGTTGAAAGGTTTGTCAGAAAAACGAATGCATGACTAAAACATAGTATTACCAAGTTTGTTATAAGAACATAACAATTTGAAATGTTTATCATAAGGATGATTGTTCTTTTAAAACAAAATCAAAATTTTTGTAAAGTTACCAGATGTCTGACCAATGTGTCAAAACAGTCGATCAAATGGATGGCTACTTGGTAAATAGTGTGCTTGATGGATCAAGACATTGTTCAAAGGTTTGCCATGGTGATGGATGTTTGACGAAAACAATTTTATAACATCCATAGAATTCTCTTTATAAGTGCTCTTCTCTTGTACGTAATAGTATTACCTGAATAATGTATACATATTTAAAAAAAACGATTACCTGAGAAATTGGTGAATTACTGGAAAGAAGACTCGATGGGGAATGAGGTCTATTCTCAGCAGGTGGTGTTAAATTTTGTGGTTTTTGCCTAAAAATAATAAAACTTAAAATAAATAAATTTTTGAAAACAATTTTAAATGTCAATAAAACTCCAGCACTGTTTAGATATCTTGGTATTATTAATAATAATAATAATAACATAAGTACAAATCATGAAGCCATTCTAAGGAAATGTATTTATTCAAAATAAGTTTTAGCTTACTTGAAAAACGATATCAGGGTTAATAACTTACTAATTGTTCCATACGCAAGAAAAACCTTTTTTTCATGCTTCTTAATTTGTTTTTAAACAATCGAGCTACACATTTATTCTTAGTGGGTTTTAATTTCAGAAGTTTGATCTTATGACTCACACAAAAGTTTAAAATTGTTACTACAAAATGTTCTCTTTGGATTTATTACCTACTACTACCGAATTTAAGAATATGGAAGTAAAAATTTTAAAATGTATAATTTTCAAGTGGTATATGTCAATCTCAAGACAGGAGTAAATTAACTCAGTGATTAAAGATAATTAGAACTGAATAACGAATAATAATTAGTTATTAATTAACTAAATATTTTTTGTAATAATATTTGTATCTCTGATACGAATTAAATTATAATTCTTCACTGATTCAGTGTGGGTTTCCAGTAAACAGACTGCTGAAAGCGCTTTAACAAAATTACAGTTGAACTATGTTTCAGTAGGTACTCTATATAAAACTCTGAAGAGGGTGTGTGATACTGGCAGTGTAATAATAGAAATGATTGAAGTAGTAAACTAAAGCTCTCCAAATCCGTGTTAAGTATCTCAGTGTATGTTCTTCACAAAAGAGACAATGGTCTAGGGTGGATCTTTTTAATGACTTGCTGTAAATACAGATGCAAATGTCATCTTTGGATCAGCAATATGTCTCACTGGCCATGTAGCTGCTTAAATCACACTGCTGAGAAATGGTAACTAAACCACAAGGTTGAAATTGGTTATAAGACCAGAAACAGTGGAAAGAGCAAGGCTGGAGACATGTGATCTTTACAGACTAATTCAAGTTTGAATTGTTTAGTAGCAAGTTTGTTCGATGGTGAAAAAGAGAATGGTATTATAGTCAATATACAACACCTACAGAGAAGCATGGTGAGGAGATCAGTACAAATTTAGGACTGCATCTCAGCCAACAGATTTGGTGATATATACAAAACTGATGGCACTCTGACTGCTGACAAGTGCAGGCAAACTTTGCTCCATCATGTCATTCTCTCAAGGACACAAACCATTGGGATCTCAAGCATACAGTAAATGTGGTAGAATGATATCCAGATATGGATATTCTTGAGGTTGTGTGAGCTTATGTAAAAAAATGAGGTCAAAAGGCAACCAACTAACTTGGCTGAATTGGTTTGTTTGTTTGGTTTATTTTTGAATTTCTCACAAAGCTACACAAGGCCTATCTGTGCTAGTTGTCCCTAATTTAGCAGTGAGACTAGAGGGAAGGCAGCTAGTCATCACCACCCACCACTAACTCTTAAGCTACTCTTTTACCAATGAACAGTGATATTGACCATCACATTATCATGCCCCCACAGCTGAAAGGGTAAGTATGGTTGGTGGGATGAGGATTCGACCCGTGACCCTCAGATTGTGAGTCAAGCGCCCTAACCACCTGGCCATGCCGAGACCCTGGCTGAATCGTACAGAGTGATAATTAACATTTGGATTAATATTCCACAATCATACAATAATAACTAGATAGCAGCATGAAACTAAAGTGTAATATTAAGTGCAAAGCAAAGGACTTGCATACAAAATACTACTGCATTCGACAACTTACTTGCTTTTCTATGTGATAATGTTTTGTACCATTAATAAATTCACTATCTAGTTCCTATTACCCATTGTTTGCAATTCCTGCGAGTGTACTGCTTGTGTTTCCATCATTATATTTTACTAGTTATCTACATGTTCTGCAGTTAAGTCATTCTACAACCTGACACTATCTTTTCACACTTTTCTATACCTCAGTTGGAAACAGATTGTTAAAAAATAACTTTCACCTTTTCATTAACTCTCTCTCTTGAGGTGTGTAAAAAGGCCAATCATCTTGGACTTCATTCCAAGCATGGCTGAGTAGGGAAAAGCTGTTATCTTTTAACACAGCAACCTGGCTCAATATAACACTCAAACTTTTCTTGTCTTTTTCTTTTATTCCATCTGCAAAAAACCATTCATTTTACCACATTTATTTTTTAGAATGACAATTTAGGCTGAAATGTTGATGTAACAGTAAAAAAAAGTGACTTAACTGAAATGGTACTTCAAAATTTCATTCCTATTACACAGGCCTGCAATGGTTTTATTGTCTTGAAATTTTAACATGTTCTACAGTAATTCCTGTATGCTGAATCCGAAAATAGCATCCATTTTTCTCCAATATATACAGATTTTTCACAAAAACGTCATAGGTACTTTTACACAAGTCAATCATTTTCATTGAAATCAGGTCACATTTTGTTATGCTTAAAATGATGACAACCACTGGCTATTTTAGGCCAATCGTGACATGAGAGTCTTATCGATCATTCTAGAATCCACGAGAAACACACCACTAGTATATAAACAGTTAACAGGCCGCATGATGTGTCATTTCTGAATAGTATTTGTTTGTGCATGAATTTTGACATTATTTCTTTCTTTTCAATATTATTTAATCATTGCTATGGCAACAAGAGGTTGTGTAAATGAATCAAACATATTCTGTTATATTTGTGGTAAATTTGATCTAAGTAAGTTGTTTTTTCTTCCTGATTTGTAAAAAATCCTTACATGATAGAAAAAAAATGAATATTGTTTTCAAAATCTGCATAGCTGAATTATGGAAAATCCATTATTGAAACCCAAACAACTTTTATAAAGTTTAAGTTCACAGACATGTGTTATACAACTAATTTCATAATCTATATCATGAACATGTTGTGGATTTGAAACACACATTGTATACAATCAGTTTAATCTTAAATACCTGTTTATTGTTACAGAAGTATTTTATCTAATTCAGCATACTGTAATTTAAAATAATTACATAACGACAGTTATTTTAGAAGTTAACCTCATTTACCTCTCATGAGTTTAGCCAAAAGTTCAGGTTTCTTGTATGGACGGACAGCAAGTACATGAATAATTCTCTCCCTACAAAATAACATGATAAATATCAATTAAAAACATGCCATGTCATACAACTATATGAAGGAAAACATGCCATGTCATACAACTATATGAAGGAAAAGATGTCATGTCATAAAACTACATCAGTGGTTTCCAAACTTTCTTCATTGATGACACCCTAACCCATTACTTTGATTTGCACGACACCCTTGCTGTTACATGCAATTTTTTTAAATTTTATTATTATTTCTTAATTATTCTTCATTTGGTGAAACTCTGGCAACACCCCTAACATCTTGCTGTAACACACAGTTTGGACACCACTGAGCTGTATGAAGGACAACATGCCAAGTCATACAACTATATGAAGGACAACATGCCATGTTGTACAAACATGTAAAGGAAAGCATGCCATGTTGTACAACCATGTGAAGGAAAGCATGCCATGTTGTACAACCATGTGAAGGAAAGCATGCCATGTTGTACAACCATGTAGAAGGAAAGCATGCCATGTTGTACAACCATGTAAAGGAAAGCATGCCATGTAGTACAACCATGTAAAGGAAAGCATGCCATGTAGTACAACCATGTGAAGGAAAACATGCCATGTAGTACAACCATGTGAAGGAAAACATGCCATGTAGTACAACCATGTGAAGGAAAACATGCCATGTAGTACAACCATGTGAAGGAAAACATGCCATGTAGTACAACCATGTGAAGGAAAACATGCCATGTAGTACAACCATGTGAAGGAAAACATGTCCATGTAGTACAACCATGTGAAGGAAAACATGCCATGTAGTATACCATGTGAAGGAAAACATGCCATGTCATACAACTATATGAAAGAACTGACTAAATACTTAATGGCCTTTGCTTGCTACTTTCAACTGTGTTAAAACCGCACATACTAATTTCATAATTAACTTGATTTTTTGGGGGGCTGTAATTACTAACTGCCCAATGATTTTTAGTAAGATTTTCATAACGAACTTCAGTCATTAGTAGACTGCAATTGCCCATCATTGGCTGATTTTACTTGTTCAATGGGGACTTGGTCTAATTCAGCTTCTTAAAACTGCTTAAACCTATAATGGACTTTCTAGTCTCCAGAAACATTATTTATTCTACGACTCTCCCAGGTAAAGAATTCACGAAAGCACCCCATTAATGATGACATTAAATTTATTCCAAATAAAAATTTCCTGATAAGTCTGGCCAACCCTAACCAAACTTTACCTCAAGGGGTTAAATTTTACTGAAATTCAATTAGCTGTTCACAACCACCTGTACTTTACAATATAACTGTTGGAGAATTGTGACTACTTGAACTCCCAGTAGAAAAAAGCCAATCTTTAAAACTGTATTTCCTATGAACTTAGAATGTTTAATTTTATTAACTGTTACAAAATCTTAACACAAATTTTTCTGAGTATGATGACAGTAATAGTTTTTAAAATGCATACGTTAAGGACTGGATATAACCATCCAAATGTTTTGATGCAGTTTTCAACAAAACTATGATAACCAAAATTCAAATTCCTACTAAATGCTTATCTTAATACAATCTTTTCATAAACGGTTGCTTAGAAACCATTTCCATACCAACAATGATTCAAGAGGAAATGAAAAAAGAAATACTTATATCAAACTCCCATCTTTGTTGGATGCATTTCAACAACATCTAAAACCTACCTTGCATGTTTTTACATTAGGATCTAAATTGGCAGATTTGATATAGGTTTTATGTAAGATGTCTGGACTAGTGAGTTTAAAAGGCTGCATCTATAATATCTAAAACATTAAAAGTAACCTGTAAGTTTCATGCAAAATGTCTGGATTAGTTCAGGAGGTTCTTGAGATGAAAACATCTCTACTAACCTGTAGGATTTACGTAAGATGTCTGGATTGCCAGATTTTGGAGGCGGTGTGGGCCTACGGTTAGTTCCCCCAAGTTGGGAATTACAATTAACTGACTTAGCAACAGGTTTTGAAATGAACGTTGGAAGAATCTGCTGTAGACTTGAAGTTTTACGTAGTGGAGGAGGAGGAATGGATGATAAAGGCTTTTTGACCTCAACTTTTCTACCTACAAATATAAAAATGTAATGATCTTCCACTCTTAACAGAAAACCTTGTTTATGCAAAAAAAATATAATAAGTTAAGAAATATACCTAATACTGGCTACATAATTCAAGGCAAAAGACTCTCAGTATGTTTCCAACAGTAACACGTGTTCTAAAGCAATTAGAAAAGTGATCTAAAAACATTTCTCCAGAAGTATTATACATCATATACAAATTAGAAAATACTTAAATTAATTATTTTAATGACAATATTTTTAAAAAGCTTTTACTTACCTACATTAGGCCCTGGAGTCTTAATAACTTTTGTACTGAAAAAAGAAGTTCCAAATAATTAACTGATTTATTGGTTTATAACTTTTACTATTTTTTTTTACAGTTAGTTGTAAGCTGAAAGAATTTTAAGTTAGTTTGTTATTTTATGCAACATACATACAGCCTGACCAATTTTACTTTTTTAAAACAGAGAAAAAACTATAAAATCATAACAAACAGGACAAAACTAATTATATTCTGAATAAGATTTACTGGAAAAAGAAATTAACAATCGAGGATCACTAAAATACATCTCAATCTATATGTATGTACAAGTTGTAAATCAAAGAATTATTAAAATCTGCTCCTAACAGAATACCATTGAAAGAGATTTTTGTATTATATGTTATAATTTTATCAACCAGTTTATACACATCATCTACTCCAGGTTTTTGTTCAAGTTTGTTGCCATAAAGTGGATATAACTTGTGAAAATTATAGAGTATATGAAGTACTTTTAGTCTGGACTTCAATGACATTAAAAACCTTTCAAATTCTTCACACTTGCATTAAGAAAAAAACATTCAAGTTTTTGTAAGTTCAGCTGTTACAGACAGCTTAATCTCCCTCTAGCAGATATTATGTACTATACCTACCAGTTTCTCTTGCTTTGTAGGTCTGCGTGTTCCATTTTATATCTTGTTTTTTCATAGCTATCTTCAGTGGCATGAATCTGCATCTTCGATAACATGCTCCCAAGAGATTCTAAAGTCCTTAGAACATTTCAAAATTCTTAATACTCTGTGCTGTACAAGCACCATTTATTAAAACAAACATACTAAGATATCTCAATTAAACTACAAGCATGAAAAGATATTACGACCAGATATCATGATATATTATCTACCAGTAATTACATTTCATTTCCCAAACAGTGAATTTTTTTAACAATAAGATGACTTTTTATACATGTGGTGATGATTATAAAACTAAGAATACATTATTTTCTGGTTATATACATACAGTTATGACGAACAAACACAACATGACCTTTAAACAGATCATTGTACATGAACATTCATGAAACTATTCCACACAAACATCAGAGGGTGTCTTACAATAAGGACAGCTAAACATGATTTAATCAGCTAATTACCAACTGATTTCTAATAATATATATCTTGTCTTATCTTATCTGAGGACAGCTAAACATGATTTAATCAGCTAATTACCAACTGATTTCTAATAATATATATCTTATCTTATCTAAGGACAGCTAAACATGATTTAATCAGCTAATTACCAACTGATTTCTAATAATATATATATATAAAACATAGACAGCAGGTTGTTCATTGGTTAATTAAAAAAAAGGGAGACATAACTGGAATTGGCAAATGAAGGGCATCAGTGTTTTATGTCTTTCTTGTTTTTATTTTTAAGCATAAAAATGTTCTACAATCAATAATGCAATTTTGTTCAAGTGTCCTTTTAGTGTGAAAAATTATTTTTAGTTCCTGTTTCAATAAAATGTGCAAACATGACTATACAATACAACCTTGCATTCTCAATTATCATAATTAACTATTTCTTACAGCTTTATCTGCTGACAAAGTTTTGGACCCTGCACTTTTTTTTTAAACTTGGAAAACACAGCGTACTTAAAACGTAAACATAAATGCCATAACAACACAAGTAAACAACTGGACTTATAAACTGTGGAAAATTGGATATTTCAGTTGATGATTACAGGTTTAGGTTTCTTTTTTACCTTGACCCCTTCTGTTGAATACATTCAAAGCTTCCTTGAGGATTGTCCGTTTCGGTGTTTGACACAGTAAACCTGAAGGATAGTCTATCCTTGTCATTCACTGGGACATGGATTACCTGTAATTTACGAGATGAACTACTATTTTAATTACATATTAAATACTTTAAGTTGTAGAAAATGACACGTCCATTACATCCAAACCTTTTTAAACTTAAAAAAAGGAGTAAAGAAAAACACATTTAGTAGAAAACTGTGTAATAAGTTATCCTGATCACACCACCAACATTTTCTCCTTCCTACCTGCTCAATGATATTCTCAGGTAAAACTGATTTTTCACAAGAGTAAATCATGGATAAGGAGAGAGTCAAACGAGATATTTATTATATAGTAGTTCTACATCATTATAATAAAATATACAAAGTAACTAGGCCTTGACATTTTTATCTTAAATGTAGTCTTTTTGTTCGACTCTTACCTTCAATATGCATGCCTAAGTTGTGAATTACACACAGGAATTCTGGTTGTTTACAAGAGATTTCTTGATAGATTAAGATCCAATCTAAAAGATGGTGTGGAGGCTTGCATCTTATACAGCTTAAGTATCACTTTTTGTTTCTAAAAGTATCCTTTTCAGGGCAAGAAGAGAAAATTTTCCCAGTTGGGTGACACTAATCTTATGTTATTGGGTTTTCTCTTGCTGTACAATGCATTCAACCAAAATTATAACAAGGACAAAAAAGTTTTTGTTTGTCAATTTTCATGAAAAACTACAAGAGGACTACCTTCACTAGTTGTCCCTAATTTTGAAGTGAAAGACTATAGGGAAGACAGCTAATCAACACCACTGACCGCCAACTCTTGTCAGACCAAACTCTGGGATATGACTGTTAATCTTATAACTCACCAAAGGCCCCAAAATATGGAGAATGAATTTTTAATTTTTTAGCAGTAACTGGACCCTAACTTAGGAAATTTGGCTCCTCAGGTCTGTACATTAACCACTGGGCTGTGTTCAGCCTATAACAAATAAATATTTTAACATCCAATCTACCATTACTCTGTTTAAACAACTGTATATTATTAGGAGAACATGTTCAACAGTTAACTGTTAGTTGAGTATATGTTACACATTCTGCTGGTGAAAGAGAGAATGTGATTAGATAAATTACAGTTTAGTATAATTTCTTTAATATGTTTCACATGTTGCATGTAAATATCTAACATTTTCGATGCAAGTGATGTTTATCAAGTTCAAGACTGGCGAGATTCAGAACCCTAAGGGACAGCGACCGTCTGTTCAACGAAAAGGTAATGACATTTTGTCTTCCACACTGAGGTCTTACACAGCTGCTGCCCATTAAAGTTCTCAAACCTACTCAGACCTGACACTTAGTGTCGTACCACTACATTAAGCTAGTTTTTACTGCTCTATCTAGAGCTGCATCTGGTGGATACTTACTTAACAAACGTTACTACAGTTGTTATTGTTTTCTTAGTGTAAAGCAGCATAATGGGTTATCTGCACTGTATCCACTGTAGAGAATAAAACCTAATTTTGGCATTTTAAAGTAGTAAGTAGGCTTACCACTTACCCACCAGGAACATTATTCCACTCTACAAGAATTGTTTTTTTTTAAATGTTATTCCTTTACACGTTGTTTTTCCTTATCAGAGCTACTTTTTGTTTTACTTTAAGTCAAAGCTTTATAATATCTTAATATATCAGCAATAGTTATTGGTAAAAATAAATAATTTCAATGCAACAAACATATTACTGTCCTCATTTTTTAAATGTTTTTAATTAACTTATTATTTCTAAAATTACTAACATGTTAGTTTACCCAAAGAACTGATCATTATGTAAAGCAGCTCTTTTACACACGATTGACAGTTTAAAGTTAATTATCGGCACATGCACACGTAAATGTTCATTTGTCGTTAAGAAGAAAGCTAAACAATGTAGACTATCTGCGCAGTGGATGCAGCAGGGAAATCAGACTTGATTTTAACATTATAAGTACTCAAGTGTACTGCTGAGTCACCAGGGGACGTGCCTGTGATGAAGTACAAAAAATGTCATGATACGATGGAACAGATTTTTAAAAGTTCATATACTGGAGAGAACATTCCAACACGCCAAGTCTAAACATAAAAAATATTTGTACTTTGTTTCTTAATTTTGTCGAGAATTGTTACGCTGATTGTTTTCCAAAGTACTAACTATTAAACTGAGTTACCAGTGTTCGTCTGCTAGGAAGACTACAGTTCCTTAATTTTGAATCTCCTTTGGAGGTGTCACTTCAGTCATCGAGTTTGATTATAATAAACAAACCTTAAAATAACAAACACTATTTCACAGAAAAATGGGCTAAAATTCTACCAGAGTTTGTTTGTTTAGCACTAAGTTACACAATCCGCTAAATGTGCTCTGTTCACCTAGGGGAATCAAACCACAGATTTTACAGTTGAAAGACCAACAACTTACTGCTGACCCATCAAAGGAGAAAGGACATTTTGCAGAAGAAATAGAAATTATTATAAGAAATAAATAAGAAAAAATTCCTATTACAATTAAGGATTGAAATTAATATATATATAAAATAGGCATTAAGAAGTTTGTTGCCAAATCCATTGTAAATCTCATTCAACACCTTAAAGCCATAAAATAAAATTTTAAATTTTACACTGTTTCATAATAACTATGAAAATATTTTAAAAAATTAATTTTTGATATGGAAAATACCTTTTTTGTCACTAGAGGTAGTCAACTACCTTTAAGTAGCTAAAATTAATATTATTCAGTATCCCAGGACAGAAAACTAAATTCAAGTAGCTGGGCTTGTCTTGGTTTTCCCATTATGCTTAAATAAATTTTAAAGATGAAGAGAGGAGGTTAGTAATATGAACTACATATGCAATATAAAGGTAGGGATTGTAGTTCTATTTAAGATCTTTTATTACTTTATTCCTTTTGTAAGAGCGGAGGTTGGGTAGTTTCATTTCATTTCTACTTTAGGAATTATTAGAAATTTTATAAGGACAGAGGTTGAATGGTTTCAAAGTTTGTAAAGAGAGTCAATATGTTCTCCTATCCTTGAATGTACAGTTCTTACAGTTTTGTAGTTTCTAAAGAAGTCAAAATGTTCTCCTATCCTTGGATGTAGGTTCTTACAGTTTTGTTGTTTCTAAAGAAGTCAAAATGTTCTCCTATCCTTGGATGTAGGTTCTTACAGTTTTGTAGTTTCTAAAGAAGTCAAAATGTTCTCCTATCCTTGGATGTATGGTTCTTACAGTTTTGTAGTTTCTAAAGAAGTCAAAATGTTCTCCTATCCTTGGATGTATGGTTCTTACAGTTTTGTAGTTTCTAAAGAAGTCAA